CAACTTAATAGTGGTTGCTTGCAGCCTTGTCGGGAGTGAATGCAAATAACAAAAAATTAAAAAAAAACCTCCTTATCCCATAACTGTATATGTACTTTATGCAAGACCCCATACTTCAAAATAAAAAATAATTTCTCTATTATTATATTATTATCCAAGAAGATATCGACAGAAACCCTACCCCCTCCAAAAAAAAAACAACAACAACAACAACAACAACATGATTTTAATGATTATACCAAAAAATCATTAGGGATCTTCCACAAAATACATACCCAGGTATGTGAGGAGGGGAGCTACCCAAAAACGTACGGAAGCGTACAAAGGGTGGGTGTTTGTGTTGAAAATAGCGAGTACATAGTTTGATCAGATTTCTTGTCTTTTATTTCTCCTAAAACCTGATTAGAAACTTAATTTGAAAAAAAAAAAACAGTATTTCACGAATTTAAAAAATCAATATTTATAGGGATTTATTACAAGACGATAACAAACTATGAGTTTAAAAAATTAACACTTAGTAGTTAGTGGTAAACTGTCCTTGAACCTTGAGGAATGCCACTGGTAACAGATATCCATTACAAAACTGTATTACTAATAGTATCTGTTTGTTTCCTATTTGTAAGGAAACTTTCAATTCAGTTATATATTTTACCGGTTATACAATAAGCTTTAATTTTTTTAAATAACTTTTTGTGTTCTACTTTATCAAAGGCTTTTGCGAGATAATTACGATATCAAGATATATTACGCATAATGGTTTACCGTTTGCAGTTTTGAATGTAATGGTGCTGATTGTCTCAATTAGATTTGTTGTGCATGATTTGTATGGAACAAAACTAGTTTGCTCCTCAGAAATAAGACTATTTGCAGATAAATATTCCAAAAATATTTCTGAGAAACATTTAATGTAAAATAATATTATACGATATTTAATGTAAAACAATATTACACAATATAATAAATATAAAATTTATTAAAGTTTAATATTAACTATTAGTTGCAATTAAGGGTAAATATTTTTTATCAATTATAAAATACATTAGCAGAAAGTCTATTTTATTAAACTTATCTAGTTTTTTTTAAAAAAAAATTCTGATTCACTAGCAACAAGGCTGCAAGCAACCACTATTAAGTTGGGAGTTACTAGAAAACAAATAATAGAGCTAAAGAAAGATAAAAAAGTAAATGCAGGGCTCGAATTAAGTGTATCGCGATTGCAAATCGCGATTGCTTTTTACACCTTCGCGATTAGTTTTTTCTTAAAATATTTTCGCGATTGGTTTACTTTTTCAGTTGTTTATTTACTATTTTTTAATTTAGCTTTTTTTTTTGGCAATTCTTAAAAGTAATGTTTCCATAGTAAAGTACAACACGCAAAGTTTGTCTTTTGAATAGAAGCATGATCATTTTCTCTTTCGCGCGGAGATTTTTATTCAACGTAAAGCACTTTTTAATTTAAACTACTTTAAATCTCTGTGTAGAAGCAAATTAAAAAGACAAAAGTGAAAAATAATTTTTTCTTCATTCTATTTCTTTAACAAAACAGCATTTTTATCTATTTTTAAAAGAAACGTTGCTCCAAATTAACTTAATAATAATGATATAATTTATTATTTTATAAACAATTTTATATAATTATTTTTACTACTTTAAGTATAATAAAATATATATAAATTCGTTTTTATTAAATAAAATTTCTATTAGTAAAATTGTACTAATAGAAACCAGCAACTTTTTTGCTTTCACGTTTTTCGCTTTAACGACCTTGAAACTATTGAAGTTATATTAAGTTAACTTTACTAAATGGATAGAGTAAATTAACTTATAACCTAAATCAAAACAACCAGTTAAGTTAACATAGTAACTTACAGTTACTCAAGTATTAATTTAACAATTATATTAATTTATTTAATATACTTGCAAAAGTTAGCCATAGACATGTTTCATTTAGATCTTAAATGTTGTTAACACATAATATAAGCTTTTAACTAATAATTATTTTAACAAAAATTGTCGAATAGAATATGAAAAACGCGACACCATTTTTTTATATTTTCACTTTATTTATAGCGACATCTAAACTAAACATTTTCTATAAATATGCAATTGTTTTCAAGAATTTTATTTAAAAAGAAATCAATTTAACAAGAACTTTGGCCTTAAAATTCACTTATTCAAACAATTTTGTGATAGAAATTTGAAAATTAAAAAAAATTTAAAAATTAAAAAAAAAGTTGATGAAACAAGGGAGAAAAGAAGAAAGTTTTCTTTTCTTAAATCGTAAATTTTTTTAACGTTTTGAATTATATATTTTTTCTTGAAAATAGTTTTAAAAGTAGAAACATTCTATTGCAAACATCAAAAGGAAATTTTTTTTTTTTTTCGCGATTAGATTTTTTTGCGTTAATTCGAGCCCTGAAATGATTGATAAAACACTTGAAAAGTTGCAAGTCAGGAAAGTCAAGAAAAAGTCAGGAAAACATTAAAATGAGAGAGAGAGTTCCAAGGAGTTAAAGTGTGGGGAAAAAAAATTGATTTTTTAGAGCATGGAAATACTGTAGAAAAACGTAACTTAGCTGAGTGACGAGTTAAGCAAAAATTAACTTTGATTGATGGAGTTAAAGATGATAGTTCCTTTTTGTAGCGACTATGATATTATTAATAGACAATGGGAGAGAGACTCAAGCTTGGCAGATTGTCCAATTACATTTACAAGGGCTTTTTGAATCTAGTCTACTTAAAGTCATTACTATAGTCAGGGCTCAAAAAAACTGCCGGACATTGTCTGGCACATGTCCAGTAAAAAAGGACATCATTTTGCCCGACCCATAATTTGTGTGGATTTAATTTATAATCATTTTAGCTGTTCCAAAATTATTATTAAATTCAGAATTATATATACAAGGTTTGTAGCCATATATTTATATAAAATTCCCTGACTTTTCCTTGACTTTTTTTAAAAAATCAGATGAATTTCCCTGACCATTTTCAACAATGGTTTTTATAAAATGATTAAAATGATTATCTACTGTAATGGAAATGCAAAAATTGTACATGCTTTGAATGAGAAAACTTATAAAACATAGCTATAAGTTAAGTTGGATATTAGTATGAATCTTTTTATTAAGGATGAATAAGAATGAACACTAAGAAAAACATAAGTTTCAGAAAAAATAAATGGGTAGCACCAACAAAAACATAACAGCTTAATTGTAAAACAAGTAGCTTCTTAATCAGAATCCCCTGACTTTTCAATGACTAAAAAAAAAAAAATTCCCTAACTTTTCCAGGTTTTCCATGACTTTAGCTAGAGTTAACTAATTTCCAGGTTTTCTAGGTACAGTATGAACCCTGTATATAAACTTTATTTTTCGAACTTTTTTATTTTTATTTTCGAAGTTTAACACACAGCTACGTTAATAAAATACATCATTTTTTTGAGCTAATTCATTTTTTAAAAGACGTCTAAACTTTTTTGAATTAAGCTACCAAGTTTTTATCATTTATATTAGTTGTAAGTGTTGCAAATAATTATTAATTTAAATTTATATTTCAGTATTTATTTTTTCTCCAATGTTTTTATAAATTTCAAACTAATATTTTAGCGTTTAAAACCTCTTTTAAATTTATTTTATAAAAATTTTAAAGTTACAGTTTTTAAATGCTTATATTACTTTTTATTTCACTATTAAATTTGAGTTTTATGTAATGTTTATTTTCGTGCTGAAGTTTTTGCTGTGAAAAGTGCTTATAAAAGTAATCATAAAAAAAGTTTAAAAAGATTTATTAAAAAATACATATTTATATAAATGAAATTATGTATAATATTCTTTGATAAATAAAATAAAATAGGTTAATTTCAAACAATCATTAGAACTGATTTGTTACTTTATTTAATAAAGTAATAACTAAACTTGATAGTTTATGTATTTAATATATTTATAATATATTAAATACATAAACATAAATAACCTTTTACAAAGCATTACGCATAGTATAGTAATTTTTAAAAAACATAACAAATCTATTTTCCTGTTCAAATTTCAGTTTTTTGAGCTTATACTTTTTCTTTTTTTTTCAAGATTTTCTTTTTTTAGGTAAGATATCTTTTAAATTTTCTTTTTATTTTCAGCGCATTTTTGAAATGCCTTATGTTGTTAAAACAAAATGCTATGGTCAAGTTGTAAAAACAAAATATTTTAAGTGTGGTCAAGAATGGCATTTGATCGTATTTCTTTAGGTTTTATCAGACATATCCGCCAAACTCTAGTATTTATCGGACAAATTTTATGGAACAAAAGTTTTCTTATTTTGAGCCCTGACTATAGTATTTTTGATTTTATTAGATGGATCCTTATAAATTGTATCAAATCAAAAAATGTTCCTCCAAGACCAACTTTAAAACATACAGTATCAAAACAAAGCGATTGATTAAAAAAAAAAGATGAATCAGTTGTACAAAATGAATGTAAAATTAGATTACAGATTTACTGATCTTCCGGTCTTAGGAAACATGCATTACGCAATTGCTTAAAATATTATTTTATAGAGCAAAAATTGTTTATAGAGCTTCTTTAGCAAAACAATGTCCGGACCCAATAAGAAGCATTGCCATATAAGTTATTAAAAGTTATTAAAAAGTTTTTCCTGGGACATCCTATCATATATATATATATATATATATATATATATATATATATATATATATATATATATATATATATATATATATATATATATATATATATATATATATATATATATATATATATATATATATATATATATATATATATATATATATGTATATATATATATATATATATATTTAGGGTGTCCCAAAAAATAACATTTTTGACAAATGTATGCTGCCACCCCCTAAATGTGTTCGATATGATAAAAAAACACAGGGTTTAGAAATATATATATATATATATATATATATATATATATATATATATATATATATATATATATATATATATATATATAAAATTTACCTTCTGATGCATTTAAAACATTCTGTAGCATTTCACTAGTAACTTCTAGAATTGTAGGCTGTTCATCTGGATTTTCCTGATATGAACAATTACCTAAAGTAGGGTAGCCAACATCTACACATGATTTTATTTCAGGCATATCTTCAACATCATCTTGATTAGTTGAAACATCAGGTGTGTCTGTTATCGTTACAATATCTGACTGTAGGTTTTATAATAATTTATTTAAATATTTTTTAAATAATAAAAAAAAAAAAAAAAAAAAACTTCTTTCAACTAGTTTATATAGTCTTTAATTCTAAATTCCACTATAAAGTTTTAAACCAAGGAAAAACCTACCTTTTCTCCTTCATCTGACTCATGTAGAGTATTTTCAGGTTTAATTACTTTTATAGAACCTTTTTTATCATAAGTGAGAGGCATTCCAAGTGCTAACATTACAGCCATGATATGAGCACAACGTTGGTTTATTGAACAAGAGCAAGATTCACGAGGGAATAATTGCACACCATTTAAACTACCTATAAAAATTTATGTGTTTTTTCAATAATTTCATATTTATTATCAATAACTTATAAGTTATTTATAATATATACTTGATAACAACTATATACACACACATAAACAAGAGGCACTAGAGGTGTGCCAAGAACCCAAAACCAGCCATTTCTTTTCTGGCACAAATTAATACTTTTGTATTATAACAAAACCTTTAAGTATAGTTATAAGTAGTTTCAAGCATTTGTTAATTAAGATTCAAAAAAATGATTAACAGTATTATTTTAGTTTGCAATAAGCCTCCTGATGACTTCAGAAAAACTGAACAAAATCAATAGAACAAACAAAAAAAATATTAACAGTCATTTAAAAACAATATTCAGCACCCTTTTGAAATCACTCAAAAGAATACAATAAAGCAGAGTTGTTAACAAGGCCAAAAGTAGCAAGGTCAAGGCCACACTTTACAAAGGTCAAGGTCAAGACTAAGGCCAAAAGTTACAAGGCCAAGAGTTTTAAGGTCAAGGCCAAGATTAAGAGTTTCAAGGCCAAGACCTATGCAAACATTTTCAAGACCAAAGACTTTAATTTTTGCCTTATGTTATAGGGATCCCAAACTCCCAACACATGTTGTGTTCATATTAAAGATAATGTTGAAAAAAGGTCTGAAACAAGTTTTTTTTGATTAAAAATAAATAATGAATGCATACTGAGAAAAACTAATCTTGTTGTTTTAGTCAAAGCTTGCCATCTCCATTTTACTCAAAAAATTGGAGTTTTTAAATCACACGTGACAATCTACAAACTTCAACAATTCCTTTGAAGCGCATTAAATTCATAAAAGTTTCAGTATTTGATATCACTGTAGTCTTTTTAGAAATGAAACTCTGGAAAAACTTTTATTTATCTTTATTCATAAATTTTTTCATTATTTGTTTAGTTATTTATTTTCTAATTTTTTAACATTTAAAAAGATATTAAAAACCTAAAATATTTTATGCTGGTTCGTCGCTATAAATTGTTATTTGTAATAAATTTAATGTTAATAAATATGAATATTTATTATCTCAATCAAGATTCTGATAAAAAATTGTTTTATATTAATTACCCATATAAAATTAGCAACAGCATTTTTAGTTGATTAGACAATATTTCGTCTGAATTTGCTCTGCATGAAGTTTGGGAAGTCAAACGAAAAAACTTAGTTTGAATAACCATGTCTAAATATATTTAAAAATGATTTTAATGACGGGGGTACTTAAGTCTTTTTATAACAAAAGTAGGTAAAAAATAAATAACTAAACAAAAAATTCAACATTAAACATTTTATTATATTGCAACTGTATGTATTTAAATATTAACTTGAACTAAATTACATATTATTACGTATTATTTACATATTATTTACAATAAATAAAAAGCCCCTAAAATTATGCAATATTGTGTTGTTTATTTGATTATTGTTATGTTGTTTATGTTGATTATTTTCATCAAAATCAAAGTAGTCCTGATTGAACTTTTAGTCGATTTGCTCATTATTGATTTATTTCTAATTTAATCTTATCTCTAAATGTTAAGAATGAAAAGCTTTTATTTCATCGCGTACTCTTTTTATAAAAGAGTAGAATTAAGAGAAAGAAAAGTTTCACATAATTTTTTTTTTTGCACCACTCATTCTTTTTTTAGATGACAGAAATAAAAGTTTAATTATTACTTAATATCAAATTGTTACCTTCATTGCCACACAAATAGAATGTGACATTTCCATTCAAGTGTATATTTCCATTACTATACTATTGATTTTGGTTAAAAGTACTATTGGTTTTGGTTAAAAGTAGGCATCGTTGCACCCCAATTGCACAATATGTTCTCATATTATGGAAAATATATTAGAGGAAAAAGAAAGTTTTCTTGTCTGACATTCAGAACTATGCAAATTTTTGCGCAAAAAAGTCAGACGCCACATTGTCTATTACTTAGTAAAGTTTTCACCAGGAATTTTTAAATATTCACAAAATTTATCTCATTTAGCCAAGTGAGAATATATTTAATAAAATTTATTTTGAAAATTTATTTAAAATGTTTTGTTTTATTTACAAAATTGTAATTATTATGACTAAAGGTTGCAAAATTGTGTAGCATTAATGTAGCATTAATGTAGCATTAAGTAGCGTTAATGTAGCATTACTGTAGCATTAATGTAGCATTTATTGGAAAACTTGTTTTGTCAATTTTGTTAGTTTTTTAATTTTCCAAATAAAAGACTAATGCCAAATACAACACATAAATTGGGAAATATATTATGCTTTTTAACGTGTGTCACAACATTTTGACAACTTAAATTACCATCATCTTAAAATATTGGCATTAATTAATGTGTTAAATAATGATTATTTAATGAGCAGTTGTGGCGCAGTGCTCTACCACTTGCCTCAGAAACAGAAGATCCATGGTTCAAACCCCACCTCTGGGCATGTTTTGCGACATCAGTTAGGAAGGAGGCATGAACTTCCAATAAAATGCTCATCCGTCGTGCTCTAAGACCATAAAGACTTCTTGGGGCAACTAAATAAAATAATAAAATAAAAAATATTGCATTAACTAATAATAATTTGTCTGCATTTTTGTTAAATGTTAATTGTATAAAATGGGCAAAAATATATGAACTTTATGTTTTTAATTTGATGGTTATAAAATATTGAACAGTAAACTTATAATTAAAATTTATAATGATGACTTGTGCTGTTATTGATTGTACTAGTAATGCAAAACCAGGATCTCACATAATCTTTCACAAATTTTCATATCTGATACTACTGTCAACTGTATTGTTTAGTGTATACTTGTGCTCTTTTTTTTTTGTAACAGATTCTAATTGGTATGGAGTTGCCAATATTTTAAAAGTTTTATTAATAAAAATCAAATGCAAAATATAATGATATTTCCTTTTTAATCTATATCAAATTTAGCAAATCTAGCAATTTAAATTAAATCAGCATAGTTAAAAAATTTTTATAATAAAAAAATTTAACAGTTCATTAAATATCTCTAATTAATACCGTCAGTTAATGTAAGTAATTGATAATAAATACTTTATTATAAAATGTCATAGCGTAAAAATGACCAGAGAAGTTAGAAAATAGTTTCCATTGTTTAATGAAATTAAGTAAGATTTAGAATATATTATACTGCGCTCTCTTGCACAAAAACGAGAGACTTTAAATATAATGTTCTATATAATGCAAAATAGTCATGAAAATTATAAGATTGGTAAGTAAAGCTTTAATATTTGTTTTAATTTAAAAACAAAAGAAATGTAAGTAAGATAAAAAAATCTCAAAATTATTAAGATATCTGTAAAAAATAAGATGTTTTTTTATAATAAAAATAACTTATTATTTTTACTTTTTACAATTTCTTTTTGTGATGTTTGGGAAAATAATACAAATAAATTTGTTTTACTGTATGTTAAAAAAAATACTACAACTTACTTTTTAAATAAAAGTATAAAAGCGCAGCTTTGTTTAATTACATTTTTATTTGTCAAAAGACTACCGCGACCTCAAATACTAAAACTTTTATGAATTAAACATGCTTCAAAGAAATTGCTTAAGTCTGTTGATTGCCACGTATAATTCAAAGACTCCAATTTTTTGAGTAAAATGGAGTAGGTAAGCTATGCCTAAAACAAAAAGATTAGTTTTTCTGGGTATACATTCATTAAATATTTTAAATCAAAAATACCTGGCTCAAGCCTTTTTTTCAACATCTTTAATATGAGCACAAGATGTGTTGGGAGTATGGGGATCCCTTTAAGGCCAATTATCAACAAAACTGTAAGTAGGAAGTGATGTGACAATAAAACCACATTTTGTAAAAATAGACCAAGGTTAAGTGCAAAATACAACAAAGTCAATCAGAAAATATGTATTTTTTTTAAGGCCAAGGCCAAAATTTTAAAAGCCAAGACCAAGGCCAACAGTTTCAAGGTAAGACCTCAATTTTTGGCCTTACGGAAAGGCCAAGGACTAACAACTGTAATAAAGATAATTAATGATAAGCACTAGCAATTCTCAACCATGCAGAGAACGATTGTTAGCTGTAATATTAGAATAACTCCTAGAAAATTTTCGCAATGGAAAAGGCTGTCAAAAAAATGAAAAAAGTCAGAGGCAAGAAAATTTTTATTGCTAAAAAATCATAGTGAGGTTCTAATCAGGAGTCATTTTTATTTTAAAAGCAGTAAACGTAAAACTGAGAATTTCTTGTTCCTCAATTTGTCAATGAGCCACATACAACCACAAAGATAAAATAACCAAAGTCTAAAATTAGAAACATACAAGTTGCTTTACTGAATAAGTTGCAGTATTTCTTACTGATACCACATCCACACTAGTACTCATAAGAAAGCTTTAATGACAAGTTTGATAGTGTCTTTAACAAAGACACTGTCGAACTTGTCCAAATCAGTTGTTGTCACCACATTCTGGAAATAATTTTGAGCATTGTATTCACTGCTAAAGAAGGTTAAAGAAGAGGGTTTACTTAAAATAGACATAATAAAGACTTAATAAATTTAGAAAAAAAAAATAACCAGCAAAAAAAAAACTGTTGAACAGTGCTTCTGAAAACTTCATGATAGGAATGGTAACATTTTACAATGCAGGCATTACTTATCAGTTAAAAGTGGAACATCACCACCTAACTAGTATTCATTGGAGAGGACTCAAATGAAACTGACTGAGTAAGACCACTTACTCTTTAATAAGGCAAACCCAATTAACTGGGATACTAAAATTACCCATATTAAAAAGCACTACTTTTGTTTGAAAAATAAAAGTACTACTTACTGTGTAATTTAATAAAGTTGGTTGCCGTAAAAATAGTGTTCAAAGAGATATATTGTTATATATATTGTTATATATATTATATATGTTGTTATATATATATTATATATATGTTGTATATATATTGTTATATATATGTTATATATATTGTATATATGTTGTTATATATATTGTTATATGTTATATATATTGTTAAAAGAGGATTACTATTAACTTCTAGTCTTTGGTGTCTAGAATGAAGATGTGACACATTTTTTTGTTTCTTGTTTTTTTTTAATAATTTTTTCGGAAAAAAACAACAAAATATTTAAAAATTCAATAAGCTACTAAATTTAAATTTAATGGCAACATCTTAATTCATATTTTAATTTCAGATTTAGATAGGACAATTAATAATATTTATTGAAATTCTTTTTATTTTAAAATTATTTGCCTGCCGTCAAGAAATTTGGCAAAAATGTTGCCAAACACTTTTCACACACACACAAAAAAACAAAAAACAGAATATTTACGATATATATATATAAAAAAACGTCCTTAATTTCTGAATTTGGGTGGCATCTAAACACGTTCAATGCTGTTGAAAAGGGTCTAGAAGAACCCTGTATGTATATGTATTCTTTTTATTCTGTTAGAACAAAAGATAATTTTTAGCAATTAAGTTTTGAATGAAACGCTTATAATGCTTTCGAACGCTGATACCACTTTTCATTCGTATCAAGCAAAAATCATAAAAGTAGAGATATTAGGTAAATATTATACACATTTTTCATATTTTAATTTCGATAATATTTATAACAAAATATTATTTAGGCCCGCTCCACCAGGTAAAAAAAATAATTTTAAACTAAATATAGTTATTAAAAAACTGTTGCACAACTTTTGAAAAAAGTTAGGCTCTACAACTCAGGCCCCTTACCCTGCATTGTGGGGTTTTGCTAAATGGTACTTCCGCCACATAACTTTTGGTTAGTTAGCGTAAAAAGCGTATTTTGTGTGAATAGTTCAGCACTTGAGATTTCACAAGTTTTTATTCCAACTTTTTAAAAATGGACTCGGTGCCGAGTACTCGGACTCGGACCAGGTTTTTTCAGCCGGATACCCGGAATCGGAGACTCGGCATTAACTGGTTCCGGCACATCTCTAATATATATATATATATATATATATATATATATATATATATATATATATATATATATATATATATATATATATATATATATATATATATATAAAATATAAGAAATTCGGAGAAAAAAAACTAGACAAATAAATGTTTTTAGAGCATGCAGGGACAGATACATAACGAATCAGACTAGCTGAATGAAGAGTCAAGCAAGAATGAGTTTTAGTTGATGGAAGTAGAGATGACAACTCCTTTGAGCAGCAACCATGATAGTATTTGTAGAAAAGTAAAAATAAAAGAGATGGAACTTTATGACAATGGGAAAGAGGCTCAAGGTTTGCAGATAGAGCCGGTCCAACTATGCTTACAATGCATTTTTAAAGCTTGTTTAGAAGAGAAAGTACATTATAAAGTATCATTAGAATAACCAGCCCATATTTCATAGAGGGATGAATAAGAGATTTATAGAAGTAGAATATAGAATCAGTATTAAGAAGAAAAAAAACCAAAAAACTGCTAAAAAGAAAACACAAAAAAAAAAAAAAAAAAAAAAAAAAAAGTAGAAAAACATCAGGAAAAATAATATATATATATATATATATATATATATATATATATATATATATATATATATATATATATATATATATATATATATACATATATATATATATATATATATATATATATATATATATATATATATATATATATATATATATATATATATATATATGCGAAAGGAAAAAACACGTTTTTTTTGGCGACTCTAATCCAGAAGTTCTAAAAATATTAGGAGACATGGGGAAAACAACATTTAAAATACAATAACAATCAATTTTCACTTTTGTTCTGTTCCTGGGACGAAAGTGTGTTTTCCTAACCCATTAGGTCAAGTACAGAAAGGAGATTGCTATATAATGAAAAACTTTGCTTCTGTGACCAGGACAATGAAATTTGGAAAATTGTGTGTTTTCGAGAAAATTTGCTTTCTCCTAAAATATTCCTGAACTGTTAGAGTTATCTAGATGTTTCTAAAACTCTCCTTAACACTCTAGAATTATTAAGAAACTTAAAGAACTATTCATAAACTCTAAGAACTTTCTAGAACGTTCTTGAATGTTCCAAAAGTAGCTGCACAAGTATAAGACAGGGTTCTCACTATTACAACTGAGGCTAAAAGTAAGGATTTGTAAGGAGATATTTTCCTAATATTTAAGGAAAAGGAGATATTTTCCTAATATTTAAGGAGATTTGGTCGCGAATGACAATTTTTTGAAAGAAAAAGTAAGGAGAATTAAAGAGAAAACAATTAAAAACAGAAAATAATTATTTTTGCAATAAATTTTAAATATAAACAGAGAAATTAATATAAATTAATATATTACTTTAGAACTATATATTTTCTTCTTTATTAATAAGACAGGTCAACAATTTATTTTTTTAAAATCTCTATGAAAATACGATTCTTTTGAGATCCAGGTTGACATACTTTTGAGTTTTTTTGACAATATTAGGGATTTTACCCCAAATACTAAAGATTTGAACCCAAATCTTTACAACTTAAGGTGATAGTAAAAAATAAGTTGCATATTTGAAATCAAAATGAGAAATGCGATACAAAAAACAAATTGTTTGCTTGGCACCAGAATGCTTGGCACATTTATGAAACTTTAGTTAAGTATCATATTATAAAATTACTATTCATAGCTACCCATAAATATTATTCTAATAAATATTATTCTAATAGCCTAAATTATTTTATTAGGACATTGAGTACACACGCACATTGTTTTTTTAATAAATAATTATTTACATAACTATATGAAATTAAAAATTACCTGACGTTGATTTTACTAAAAATGCTTTTAAATCTGTGCAGTGTGAGATATGTCCCATTTCCAAAATACGCTGAGCCTGCAAGAGACAGGAACTTTCATCTCCAGTATCAGGACATTCTGAAAACATAGTGATACCTCGAACACGAAATATTTTTACAATAGATGATGGTTCATACACCACACTTGGCAAGATCAGTTCATCAGAGCCACGGCTCAAAAATTTAAAAGAACTATGAAGTGAGTATAATCCTGTATTACAAAATCCTTTTTGAATATTGACATGAGTATATGTTTGCAGGTGGTAGAGAGAGGGAAGAATAATGTCTAGAGATGGCTCCTTTAAGTCTTGTAGATTTTTAACAACTAATTGTAAATCACTGTTGTCAGCGCGCAAAACACCAACATGATTGCAATATAATTTAAATCTAAAAAATGTTCAAGTAAAAGATTTGTAATATTCAACTCATTTAATTTTAAATTTATTTCTTTTAAAAAAATTAATTTTCAAAAATTATACTACAATTGAATTTAATATCATATAAAAATATAAATAAAAAAGATATATAAAAATAAAATTTATATATAAATATCACAACATTTACCATAAAAGGTTACTATAATATCTGACATGCACAACTTTATTCACAGGTTTTGAATAAAGTCATGAGTTTACCACGATATGGTAGTTATCTAATGTAAAAGTTTTAGAAAACCAAAAAAAAAAGTTGTTTTTAGCTCTTGAATTTACTTTTTAAATTTTTAATTTACTTTTCATATAGGAACTTGATAATTAAAAAAATAAAATAAAGAACTGGTTTTATTTTTATGGGAAATTAAAAGTTTTCACAAACTTCATTTTACGTGCAGGGGAGACAAGGGCTAGTTGGCAGCAGGGGTAAGTTGACGAATTGCGTTTATCTGCAAAGTCTTTCATCAAAAAGTGCCAATAATTTCAGGAAACCTTCTTAGTTGACCATTTCATCTTTCACTGTAGTATTGTGGGGATTTGTGTATGCGCATAAAAGATATTGTGATTTATGTGTTTTTTCAACATTTTTGTAACTTTTACAACTTCTTTATTTTTTCGATTTTTAAAAGCAATTTCATCAAGTACACCTAAACTTGATTTGAGTTATATCTTGTATGGTTCAGTAAAATCTGTCCAACCATTATTTTTTATTTATATACAATTTTCAGGGATCGGTAGGGGAGTTTGTGACCAAATAGCTGTCGGGGTTAGTTGGCAAAATTTTTGCAGGGCAAGTTGGCCGTATATATCAACTAAACCCGGTTGCGATTGGACATAAATTTCAACTTTTTCTATAACTTTTGATTTATTTTTTAAAAATCGATTAGATAGATAGATCACATATATTACACGGGAAACTATAAAAGAAAAACAAAGAGGGCTATAACTCCTCAAAATGTTATAAAAAATGCTGTTGATGCTGTTTTATTAGAAGGAAAATCTATACGAAAAACAGCCAAAGACTTGAATATCTCTGAAAAAAGTTTGTCTCGATACTGCAAAAAGCAACAACGTCATGGTCAGCAAATATCAGGTTACATAAAATCTAGACAGGATATTATATATATATATATATATATATATATATATATATATATACATATATATATATATATATATATATATATATATATATATATATATATATATATATATATATATATATATATATATATATATATATATATATATATATATATATATATATATATATATATATATACATATATTAGGGTGGGTCAAAAATTTTTTTTTTCTTGTTACAGGCTTTAAACATTGCTAATAGTTATTAATATTGATACTATCAAATATAAGAATGATTGTGATAGATTTAAAGGGCGCAACTTATTGGGAAAATTACTGGTACCCTAATATTTTAGAGAAAAAAAGTTTTTCAAAATTAGGTCAACCTGGTACTCAAAAGAAGCGAAATTTTATTAAAAATTCGAAAATAATAATAATTTTATAAAAATCATATTGCTGAAAAAAATTGTTATTAAAAAACATGTAAAAATGCACCTTTTTCACTTTTAGTTTAAAAACCATAGTTATTATGCGATAAAATCTAAAATAAGAATTTTTATATGAAAAAATTATTATTTTTGAAATTTTTATAAAATTTCATTTTATTTGAGTACCTACATTAAATAATTTTGAAAAACTTTTTTTTTGAATAAAAATAGGGGCTGCTAATTTTTGTAATTATAGTTGTGGACGGAAGACATTGTTCAATCCATAAAAGTAAATACTTTCCTAAATTAGTACATAAAAAAACAACTTTCTAGCAATGTTTAGAGCCTGTAACAAGAAAAAAAAATTTTATGACCCACCCTAATATATATATATATATATATATATATATATATATATATAATATATATATATATATATATATATATATATATATATATATATGCACACACACGTGTGTGCATATATATATAGTGTTATTTGTTTTAATATTAATATTGTTCAGGTCTTTACTGATTTACAAGATGTTCAGGTCTTTACTGATTTACAAGAAGGTCTGTTGGAACAATATGTGACTAAAGCTTCTGATATTTATTATGGACTTTCTCCTAAGGAAGTGAGGAAACTAGCTTATCAGTATGGAAAAGCGAATAGCATAAAAATGCCTCATAATTGGAGTGCAAATGAAGCAGCTGGAGAAGACGGGTTCAGTGCTTACCTCAAAAGGCACAAAAAACTGTCAATAAGAAAACCTGAGGCAACAAGTCAAGCACGTGTTTCCAGTTTTAATCCAACAAATGTTCAAAAGTTTTACAACAATTTACAAACTATTCTTAATCGTTTAAAGTTGGAAAGTGGAGATATTTGGAATATGGATGAAACTGGTATTACTACAGTTCAAACTCCAGATCATATTGTAGCAAGAAAGGGTTTTAAACAAATTGGGCGTGTTACTTCGTTAAATGTTAAATGAAGATAATAATAACATGAGTAAAAGATCAAATAGTAAAGGAAGTTTACACTTAATGGGGAAAAGTTTGAATTGTCCAAATAGCTCTGTTGAAGAAGAATGTTTTTGTTTGGTTTGTGTTGGAATGTTTTCTAAAAGTAAACCAGAGGAAGTTTGGGTTCAATGCACCCAATGTCACCTTTGGGCTCACGAGTCATGTATAATCGGAAAATCTTTGTTTTTCATTTGCAATAATTGCTGCTAGCCGATATGAAACTCCATTAGTTAAAAATATTCATGTAATAGAACAATATAAGTTTTAATTCTTATTGTATAACCATAAAATGGGAACACTGTTTTGTTTTGTCACTGTACTTTTTAATTATATTTACTTTCTATTGCTTAAAATGTTACAATAACTTGATCCAAAAGTTTGATGATATTGATAAAAGTATATTTCAGCTATGATTCCTTTTAAAAAAAGAAAGGCCCCAAAATATTTTTTTTGTAAATGATTGCAACTTTTATAAGTTACCCAAATTCATAGTCTTCAAAACTACACTTTTATATTTTCAAAAAAATGTTCCGCTAGGACTACAGAACTCATAGAGTAAAAACCGAGTCAACTAGCCCTGGTCTCCCCTACATTAAAAAGTAAATTTTTTAACTGTATTTATAAAAAGTAATAAAAAGCATAACCTGATAAGAAAAATTTGGATTCAATTCTATCAAATAAAAAAATATGTTTTGATTTCTTCATAAATAACAAAATATGAAGTCATGCTAAAAAAACTAATTTAAAAATTCAATTTAAAAAGTTGTAAAAAACATTGAAACTCTGTTTTTTAAAACTCTGTAAATTGATTTCCTCCAATAAAAAATTTTCTAATAAGTGATGTTAGTTTGGCTTTATGTTTATTTTTATCAAGTCAAAAATCTCAAATAAACTTTGTAAGCAAGCTAACTGTACATCTGTATAAAACATATTACAACAGAAGTAATATATTTGAATGATCAAATGGTGATATTGTTAACAAAACCTGCTAGTGATATATAAGAAAAAATATGTAAACAAAAACAGTTAAAAAATAAATGCACAAAAAACTACAGAGAAAAACATGCTTGAATATTTTTGTTAGTCGTTAAAAATCACGTTAGTACGTCACAACAACTTTAGCATATCTACTTCGATTTTCAAGTAAAAAAAAGTCATGATTAAATAGTTAAGTTTTAATCAAGTTTTTTTAATTAGTTTTGCAAAAACAGTATAATAGCATTCGGTTGAAAGACGTCGTTAAAAAAAAATTTATAAGTAATAGTTTTAAATAGTTTAGAACTTATAAAAAAGTCTTACAGGGCTCGTATTAAGCGTATCGTGATCGCGATTGCTACAAACACTTTTGTGATTAGTTTTTTCTTAAAAAAATCTTTTCGCGACTCGTTTTTTTTTTGGTTGATTAATTACTTTTTTTCTAGCTTAGCATTTTTTTTAGCAATTCTTAAAAGTAATGTTTTTATCAAAAAGAACGTCACACAGAATTTATTATTCTGATTAGATAGAAGAATAGATGATTTGCTTTTTCGCGCGGAGATTTTCTTTTAACGTAAAACATTTTTGAATTTAAATTACTTTAAATCTCTGCGTGGAAAATTGTTACAAGGTCGTTAAAGCGAAAAGTTGAAAAGTTGGTTTTTATCTTTGTTTATCAAAACTTCATGCTTAAAATAAGGCTTAAAAACGTTAGAGCAAAAAAATTACTGACTTTTATTTGCATTTTCATACTGTTTGAAAAAAAAAACTAATAAAAAAGAAATAATATATAATTATTTATTAATATATTATTAGTTAATTCTTTTTTATTAGTTTTTTTTTTTCAAACAGTATAAAAATGCTAATAAAAACCAGCAATTTTTTTACTTTAACGTTTTTAAGCCTTATTTTAAACATGAAGTATAATTCGATTTATTAAACCAAATTTTTTTGTTTTATCTTTTATTGGAAAACTTGAAATAGAAAAATTAAATAAAAACATCAACTATTTAAATGAAAAACTTAACTATATTTAAACTTTTATTAGTCCTTTATTCAAGAAACAATAAATTATAAAAAACGTGATATCTAATTTTTTATTAAGTTTTTGACGATGTTTTTGATTTATTGACGATAATTTTTTCCCCCCATTACCGCACATCAGCGCGAACTATAAGAGAGAGGGAGGGGGGAGAGCAAAAAAAAAAAAAATTTTTCCCGATTAGATTTTTTTGCGTTAATTCGAGCCCTGTCTCAGTTTAATTTCTAATAAAATGTCTATTCAACCTTATCAATTTGAACCAAAAAAATATAGCAATTTAACATAAATGTTAATTTAACTAAAACAATTTACAATCATTATTTTTTTTATCAAGCAAAAATGAGAGTAACCACTTTTGAAACCATAAAAATTACTTAAATAAATTTATTTTTTTACTAAGGCAATATTTTAAATAAACTTTCATATGTCCAAGTCAATATTCATTTGTTTTTAACTGACTAAAAAGAGCTTAAAATTTGACTTTTATTCATTTTTAGCAGTGGAATTGCCCTTATAACACAAATATATAAATTAATATTATAAAAAAAATTTTAATATACAAATATATTTTCACAAAATGCTACAAAACTTATTCTTGTAAGTAATTATGTGTTAGTTGAAAAAAAACGACTTTACTTTTAAATTTAATTACCAACTAATAAGTTTGCAATAATGACATTTTGTCTACTTTGTTTAATTTGACGTACTAACGTTAGTTTTTTGAGGCAGTAGAGTCAATAAACTTTGGACAAGACGCATTTTTTTTAATCAAAGAAAAGCGTTTTTTTGAAAATTAAATTTGTTAGTGTGTGTTCATTATTATGTTTTAGAAAAAATAATATACATCAAACATTTTTTTTTTTTATGCTCTTTGATATGAGATCATATCTTTATAGCACTTAGGGATCCCTTTAAAAATAAAATGACTCTAAAAAACATATTTTTTTAATTTTATTTTTTCAAACTTTTTTTTTTTATTGAAGACAACATTTCAGACAAAAAGCATTTTAAAAATAGTAAAAAACCTTTTTATGATTTGTAAAAAGGATCACCTTTTTAAGATTTGTAAAAAGGATCACCTTTTTAAAAATAATAAAAAGGTGATCCTTTAACAAAACAATGTGAAAAAATTAGAAATACAATTTAAATAATAAAATATAAAATGATCAAGAAATATTTGCATTTATAATAAAATATCTTCCCTGTGATTTAAACCTAAAATAAAAATTACTGTTTTAAGAATAAAACTTATAAATACCTTTCTAGAAGCCATCTACCCAACTTTTTTTCGATAGATTCTAGTAACACTTGTGTATAGTAATCTTTAAATGAAACAGGCCATCCCTCTTGCAATCGTAGCAATTCACTCTTGTAATCATCAACTGACTCCATATTCATTAATGTCTTTAACTGATTGATACGCAAACTAATCTCTTTTATATCAACATTTTGCTTGCGTAAAAATGCCCTAGCTGCTGTAAATAGGTGTTCCCAATCATACACTTGTACCCAATTAGGAAAAACTAAATTGACAGCAGATGAAAGCATATAGTCTTGGCTTATAATAACTGCTGCTTGAGCTTCTTCAAGAGCAGGTACACTCTCAAGAATCACAGCTAGAAATTTTTCATATAATGTAAAGTCACATATTTCTGTAATCAAAAAATAAAGAGGAACTGAAGGAGAACTTTCAAATGCACAATGAATAAAACTAAACGGGGTCAAATAATAATGTCCAATTTTGTAGGATTCTTGAAACGAACACACAACAGTGTTATTGTTCAATTTTATTAATTTTTCTATTTCAGTATTAATTTCAGTTAAACCAACAATACATAACAATTCAGGGTATGTAGAAATATAAACACAAAAACCTAAAAGTTCAGAAAAAACACTATGCAATGTAGCTAGATCTTCCCTTGGAATTCTATCTTTGACTCTAGAAAGTTTTTGCTTGCGACGAATATTTCTAACCTGAGGAAATCAAATATTCAAAAAAAGTTAATAAAAATCTATTCACATCTATTTTAGACTTTTTTTTATTTTTCAGACTTATAAAATATGTTATAATAAATGAATTAAATCTTAAATATATGTTTACAAAATAATATAATAATTTTTTTGAAAGCAAAATACTGTAAGAAAATACATTTACCAAATATAATAAACTTTGAAAACTGATACCTATTATGATAAATTTGCAGATATTTAATAATTTAATATAAAGTTGATATTTAAAACAAAATACTGTAAGAAAGATATTTAATTCGGTTAGATATATAATTCAATAATAAAGCTTTATAAAACATTTTCATTTAATAGTTATGAAAAATGTAATCATGTCAATTCTTTTATTTTGAGATCAAATATGATGGCTTCTTCAAATCGACATAGGTGTAAACATAATCCTCATAAAAACTCATTCTATTATACTGTAGCTGTTTACACTTGTCAAAAAAAAAACTTTACTAATTTTAAAAAACTAGTATAAAAATTGTACTTAAGATTAAACATGGTGACTAAGACAAAAAGAGTGCTCCAAACTTTGCATGCCATAATAGTGAAAAGAGTCTTCAAGAGTAGAAAAAAGAAGGAGAAAATGTTTATCTTTTGGAGTTTGAGGCAGAAAATGTTATACTAAATATAAATGTTATCTCTGCATGTGGGATAGTCAAGCAAAAAAGCAGGGTGCAACAAATCTTTTTTTTTAACGAATCTTTGTATCTTTATTAATGATGAGGGTATAATTTAAGAGATTTATGTCAAATAAGTTTTATTTCCAAATAATAATTATTCTAGTCAATAATTTATTAAATATATCAAAGATGCTTATGGAAATTAATGAATTTTTTTTAAAGACGATTTTTTAATTATGCCATTGCAAATTAATGATAATTAATATGCAATGATCTGATAATTGCAAACTGTTATCCATTGAAATAAAATAGTGAATTTTTCTCAATTAAGTTTGTTAAATTTATTTAAAAACGTTCAACTAGAAGAAATTAAAATAAAAATAAAATAATAGTTGTTTTGCCAATTTTCTTTATTAACCTTTAAAAATAATAATACTAACCCTTGGAATTAGGAAAAATGAGGTCGGGAATAATTTCCTGACCTTAATTTTTTAGAGGTCGGCAAAAAAAATTCAATACTAAATTCTTACCATAAAATATAAAAATGAGGTTGACAATTTTTTGCCTTCCTCAAACACATTTAGGTCAGCAGTTAGGTGAGCATTACCAAATGCAGACTAATTCCGAGGGTTGATAATAACATACTAAAGATTTAATAATAAAAATATCATACTAATGGTGTTGTTAAACACACAATATCATACTAATGGTGTTATTAAACACACAATATCATACTAATGGTGTTGTTAAACACACAATATCATACTAATGGTGTTGTTAAACACACAATATCATACTAATGGTGTTGTTAAACACACAATATCATACTAATGGTGTTGTTAAACACACAATATCATACTAATGGTGTTGTTAAACACACAATAAAAATTGAAAACTATAATAAACATAATAAGTCTAATCTATTAGATTGTATATATTTCAGTAAAAATTTGTTTCAAAACTTTTAAAAGTGTTTTTAATACGCAAACAAACATTACCTCACTTAAGGAAAAAGAGCTAATTAAAAAACCACACACTCTCTCATTAAAAAACCACAAACTCACTCATTAAAAAAAACACACCTCACTCAAGGAAAATAAGAAAATTAAAAAAAAAAAGACATTTATTTTTATCATGACCACGATTGTACAGTTAATATGTAACCCAACTTACCACATCTACCACTACTACCTTGTATGACTTTTTTTTTCTATTGTGATGGTCTAGAAAAATCTATGCAGGAATTTTTACAAGGCTCAATATTAGGTAGACTTTTTTTCAGAAGAGACTCATAAATAAATGAAAAAGTTTATCTGTTTTAATAAAAAAAACATGAAATAGAAAGTTTTATAAAAAGAAATAAAAAGGAAAATAAAAACAGGTGATATCATATAAGTCTAATGTTACTTTGCTTTAAAAACTACAACTTTTCAGAATCAAAATCAAAGAAGAGAGAAAATTATTTGTAACTAAAAAAAAAGTTTAAATGTTTTTCAAAATCAAAAGATACTAAAAACTTTTGAGACCAGAGGATGCTTAAAACATTTGAAAGAAAAATTAAATTTAAACAACAGTTAATTTATACTTTTAATTGAATCAGTAAACATAATTATAAAAATACTGAGATGTCTAAAACCTGTGTTAATTTATTTGTTTTTAGATTGAAAAAATTATTCGATTAATTAGGTTATTATATTTAAAATATATATATATGGACAATTTTTAACTTATGTTACACGCGCAATAAATTTATCAAATATTTTCCTGATTAAATTTTAAATTAAACTTTTACCTATTTTGTATGAAAGCTGTTAATCTAAAGAATAAATGAAGCCAACAAGTTTTGAGTATGTTAAAAGAGGGCAAACTTATTACTGAAAATGCCACTTAACTTACGTAACATGGAAAATAAGGTAAAAAAATTGCTTTAGTTTTTAGGTCAGATTTCTGCGAATCAGTAAAGCTATTTGTTTCAAAAATTTCAAAAGATGTTGAGAATTCTATACTAATTTTAAAAATATATAAAAATCTATCAGAGGTGACCAGTTAGCTGGTTTTTTTGATACCATATATTTAACTTAAGTTACCGAGCAATTATTATTATGGATTTTTAAATCTATTATTAAGAGTTATAGATTATATATATTATTAAGAGTTATATAGAGTATATATATTAGAGTATATAGAGTATATAGAGTATATATATTAGAGAATATAGAGTATATATATTATTAAGAGTAATATATATATATATATAGATATATAGAGTATTATTATTAGAGATGTACCGATTAATCGACACCGGCATCGGCTTAATCGGCCACTTTTTGCACAATCGGTATCGGTATCGGCATCGGTCTTTCCTTATCAATTTACCGATTTTCTAACCGATGGCATTTTTATATTTTTATCCCTAAAATTGTATTTATTTTTTGAAAGTGTTCTTTTCATAGTTAAAAAAAAGTAAAAAATGTATATTTATTTGATTGAGCTTTTCTAATATCTTTTAAAATAAAGGTTTGACTCTGATTTTGGTCCAAGTATTTGCTTACCAGTTCTGATTCCATGAAAAATTTTACATGATTTAAAGTTGTATGGTTTTATATTTTCAAATTATAATAGCTAGTTAATCTATCGGTATAATATTTAATATTCTTTCGCATATATTATTAAAAAACTCATGTTTTTTAACTAAATTTTGGAAAAAAACAAAACTTTATTATCTTTTTGTTAACATATGTTACATAAAAATTGCTAAAGTTCTTTCGCTATTTTCTAAAAAAATATATTTTTTATAAAGTATAAAATCTGACCAACAATAATTTGAACTTGTTAGGCCTGTTTTTATGCTAATTTAATTCTATATGCAAACAAATTCATGGTTAAAATAAAATTTTACTATGATACTTTTTTAATCATGTGACAATGAAAAAAACCAAAACCTTCGAAAGCATTAAAATGGCTTAAATAAATTTTAGTAGTAAAGGTATATATATATATATATATATATATATATATATATATATATATATATATATATATATATATATATATATATATATATATATATATATATATATATATATATATATATATATATATATATATATATATAACTTTGCTCCATGCCTGATAGATTTAAGTATTTTTACTATAAGTAAAGATAGTGATTATCATACATTGGTTGATATGTTGATAAAATTATTGACAACAATGAAGATATTAATGCTGCTGATGACAACAATATAGATAATAATGCTGCTGATGGCAACAATAAAGATAAAAATGCTGTTGATTCCAACAATGAAGATAAAAATGCTGCTGATGACAACAAAGAATATAATAATGCTGCTGATAAGATAAAAAATTACATTTAAAATACAAATTTAATTATTTTAATGGATATTATAACTTTTTTTATAAATATAAACTTTATATATATATATTACAAATATTTTATAAAGAGAATAAAAGTATTTTTATTTTATTAGATTATATAAAGATTTGAATTTTATGATTAGTATTTTCGGATCAAGAGAGATGCCAATAAAGATATCAACATCAGTTAGTCAATTTATATTTTTTATTTTTAAGAATATATTCAAATTATTGAACTAATAAAAGTGTTATTATTGCTTAAAACAAGAATTTTTAATAACGTTTTGATTATTTTATTGATGATTTATTAAATTTAAAAAAAATGTGGTTCATAAATTATTAAAGTTAACAGGATCTATTGTTTATAAATAGTTATCTAATAGGGGTGCACAGATGTATCAGGCTGCAGATGTATTGATCATTTAGCCAAAGCATCGGCATCTGCATCAGTCCTAGTAAACATTGGTTTTTTAATTTTCGTGTTTCTACTGTATGCAAAAATACAATTATTCCATAAACGAAAATGCATACTAATTTACTATATAGGCATAACTGCAACCACATTTTAATATAATCTTTAAACAGTTTTTTATCTCAACTTTTTTAATGTCTTTTTTCGATCTAGAACATAAACTTTATTACTCTTGCATCCTAACTATACAAAGAGTGAAGTTTAAAATCAAGAAATGGAATTTACAAAAATTTTTTTGCAAAACTAATTTATTTTTTTGTTGCAAAATTTATAAATTGCTTTTGAACAATAGATTTTATTAATATCAAAATAGTCTTAGATTAGACTTTTATTTACTTTTAGTCAGTTAAAAAAATTCAAATCATTCTTTTCTTACTACTTTATTAAAGCCATTCTCAAAGGCCAACACTCTACTTCATTTAAAAGTTCTTTTTGCTGTCGACTTAACTTTATATTCCTGTCCTGACAAAAAGCTCTTTTCGATTGCTTAGAAAAGGCAGCTGATCTTGAACCTGATCTCACCTTTGTAACAGGATTATGGCTTGCAGTAGCTTGTAAATTTTAACTCCAAAAAAACTCAGTTATTAACTGCAAACTACTGAGGCAATACTGTCGACATTCCTATATTAATGAATGGCACACTCACTGAGTTCTCTTCTTTTTGTCTTCTTGGATTATCATTTACTACTGAAATTTAATTCAAGTCTTGGGCATTTAATTTCTAACTTTTAATTTAATTTAATTGTAACTCATTTGACATGTTTACAAATATATAAAAACTAATTTAAACTTATTAAGTTTAAATTATTTTTTATAAATTTGTAAACTAAATTTAAACTTATTATTTATTTATTGATATTTAAAACAAAATTAAAAAAACTCTAATGACTTGATTTGAAATCTTTTTTATTATCAATTAATTGGTTTCTAATTTAAAACATTTAAATCTGGTTATAGATAATTCCTCAAACTTTACCCCTAAACAAAAATCGATTTTAATGTTTCATACTATGCAAATAGCTTTAGCATAATTTTTTATTTGTTGGATTTTTAAATTACTGTTCATATGACCTTTAGTAATTTTTTTTTTTTCTTATAGTTTTTTTTTTATTTATAATACTTAAATTACCTGATGCTTAATAAAACTATAATCAAAAATATATAGGTTTTGGTTGTTATTATTTTGTATGTAGTTTTTTTATTTATTTACAATACTAAAATTACCTGATGCTTCAAAAAACTTTAAATAAAAATTTATAAGTTTTGATTGTCATTATTTTTGCAGCAGTAAATTTGTGGTTTTGCTTTTTCATTAATTTTTTCACAATGATAAATTGACAATTTCATTAAAACAGTGTTCACGGTTTCTAATAAAGATAATGATAATTTAATGACCAGAAATGTTTCCAGATATTGCAATTTTCAATCACTTTTTTCGAGCCTTGAATCAAGGTTGCTGCACAAGGATAATATCATCTCTAGTTCCTTTAACTATATCTCATTCTCCCTTGGCTTGTCATTGAGCAAAGCCTCATTCTTTTACTGTATCTGTCCCTGCATGTTCTAAAAACTTTTATTTGCCTAGTTTTTTCAAATTTTGGTTGCTTGCAGCCTTGTTTGGAGTTAATCAGAACAAAATGTGTGTGTGTGTGTGTGTGTGTGTGTGTGTATATATATATATATATATATATATATATATATATATATATATATATATATATATATATATATATATATATATATATATATATATATATATATATAAATATATATATATATATATATATATATATATATATATATATATATATATATATATATATATATATATATATATGTATATATATATATATATATATATATATATATACAAACATAGATTTATAAATATATAAGGAAAAGTAATAATAATAATAGTAATAATAACAATAATAATAATAACCTGAGATTTATTTCTTGGAGTAAGCACTGGGTTAATATCACTTTCACCATTTTCATTTAAGATGTATGAAGATGGACTTGATTTATAAGCATTAATAATAGCAGTTGGAAGTAAGGTCTGGCTACGGGAAGCAATATCTTTACGTACAGATGGAGCAATAGCAAAATAAGCTAAGTTTGACTTTTTAGAATTTCCATGTGGGTAATCAACCATAACAGACTCATCTAAAGCATAAAATATTTATAAAAACAAAATTGCTTAACAAATCAAATATGATCTGCATTTTTTTGTTATATTCATTTGTTTGTTTGTTTGTTTTTTTCTACATTTTTACATCAGCATAACATTTTATACGCTAACTGCAACAAAATAAATTGCAACATAAGCAAAAAATTGCAATTTATAAAATTGTATAAATTAACAGTGAATCAAAGGAGAAATAACCTCTAAAAATATTTAATTTTTGAAAATATATAATTTCAGGGTATTACTACAGCGTTTTCTCAATAATGGGAACTTAGGTTGAAAGAAAAAAAAAAAAAAAAAAAGAAAAAGTAAAGTTTTTTCTTTTTAAAAAAAAGTCATTCTTACATTTTTAAAAAAAGTTCAAGACAACTCATAGCTTGCACAGTTTTTAAACTCAATATATACAAACAAATGTAAAAGTAGAAAATTTTGACGTTTCTCAAATAAATAATATCTTTGAAATAATTTTTAATTTGGTGGGTTATATTCATAGCAAAAATATTTTTATCATTAATTAATTATAATCAACTTGTTTTTATTCTTCATAAAAGTTTTTATTTTTAAAATGCTTCTTTGTGTGATATTGTAAAGAGAAAACAAGAACAAAAGACAATTGTTTGCAATTAAAGTTTAAACTTAATACTTTGATTTATTTTAATTGCCTACATTGCTTTTAAATACCGTTTTAAGTGGTTTAAGTGAATAAAAGGTTTAAATATTTACATATATTGATTATTTATTTTAATTTTCATTCTTAAATTATAAATATAAAATAAAAAAATGCGTAATAGTATTATATTTTTAAAAAAACTTTTTTAACAGTTGCCAGGATCTTGTTATAACTTTTTAAAAAGCACAAATAACTTTTTAATTGGCAACTGTCAATAAAAACACTATATATTGAATGGAAAGTTTTTGAATATTTAAGTTTTTAGTGATTTAAAATTTCATTTATTATGATTATTTAGGCCTTCAAAACGTAAGATAAAAAACTTATTTAAATCTTTTTTTTTATAATTAAGAAACTTGGTTGGCTTGCCAATTTTAGTCGAATAGAATGCTTCTTAAAGGAACTTTTAATGCAATATGCTATTTTAGAATAAATTTACATAAGCAATAATGGGCAGAGTTTTGTTCACTGCACGAGGAAAGCAAGTAAATTTAATTGGCACATTTAAATATCAAAATTTTCAAATATTTAAGGATAAAAAAACAGTATATTTAAAAACAAAATTTTTCATTTTTTAGCTTTTGAAATTAAACTTTTGCATTTGTAAATAAAATAGAAAATAATATAAAAATTTATGCATATTTAACTATCTTTTTTTTATGTTTTTTATGCAAATTTTACACAAATGATATGTTTCATTGCAAGTTTCATTTTTGATTGTTGTTGTTATTTTTGGTTTACTTTACCAGCATTTTTAGTTTAGCAATAGTATTTTTAATTCTTTTTAATATTAAAACGTTAATAACTTGTTTTAAATTATATTATTTATTAGCTAATTATTAATATAGAAAGATTTTTGTAACTTTCCTAACTTAAACAGTAAAAATATTAATAAAGAGTTTTTGAATAATAAGAACAAATTAAAACAATAATTTATTAAACATATTAAAAAATCTAAACAAGAGAATAACTGACGTCAATTAAAAAATAATTTTTTTTATTTAATTTTTGAATGAATGATATTGCTTGTTAATGACGAAGCATCGATTTTTTAAGTAAAAAAAAATAATTTTTTTCACAAAAAAAAAAAAAATTGATCTACTAATTCATTTTTTTATTGCACGTAACAATTACGTTTTCTACATATCTAAAATGGCTGTCTACATGTAAAATGGTAATGATAAATGCCATCTATTAACGAACCCTGATTGAAAGAAAACTAATTGCATATCACATATAGTAGTTAGTAACAAATAACATAATATGTATGAACTTATAGAAAAGCATTTTCTTTAGGATTGTAAAACAATCTGAGATACCAGCAATAAAAACTTACTTTAGACCATCAAAAGTGTTTTCTGATATATAACTTGGCGTAGTGACCCTCTCTGAGGATCAAAATAAAATTAAAAAATGAATACTTTTATAACTAATCACCTTACTGAAAAACATTACTTAGAACATTTAAAGCACCAGGTTAAAGATGAATAAGATATACATGAATAGCTATAAAGCACCATTAAACTCAGTTTTCTAATGATATATTGCTGAGACAAATATATATATATATATATATATATATATATATATATATATATATATATATATATATATATATATATATATATATATATATATATATATATATATATATATATATATATATATATATTTAAATAATTTTAAAAAATGTATTCTACAAAATAGAGTGCTCAATGTTCTTAAAAGAACAGAGCAATTATAAATTAGTAGAAAATCACTTAACAAAATTTTTTTTATTTTACACTGTGTTTCATCAACAAAGACTCATCAGAAATGCTTTCTGATGAATTTCTGATGAGTCTTTGTTGATGAAACACAATTTAAAATGAAAAAAATTTTTGTTAAGTGATTTTCTACTAATTTATATATATATATATATATATATATATATATATATATATATATATATATATATATATATATATATATATATATATATATATATATATATATATATATATATATATATATATATATACATATATATATATATATATATAAACAACTCTTGGAATTAGGAAAATTGAGCTTGGAAATTATTTGTCGACCTCAATCTTTACAATAAGAATTTTTAAGTTTACAACAAGAAATTATAAAGTATTGAAAATTAATGGTTAAAATGTTCAGTGTGGAATAGACTTATCATGATCTGTATTATACTGATCACGGTAAGTCCATTATTCCACATATTAAAGTTTATTTCCACACGTTTTTTGAAACTTTATTATACCAATGGTAATTAATTAACATAATTCAAGATGGTAATTAATTAACATAATTCAAGTGGTATTCTAAATATTATTTAGACAGGTATTAATACCCAATCCATTGATATATACCAATTCACACAATGTCTACCAAAACATTTAAAGTTTTTTAAAGTTTACTTTTTAAAGCTATGAAAAAAAATTTTCATAGCTTTAAAAAGTAAACAGCAAGTATAGTTTTTCTATATGTATCTAGCTATTTTTCTACCACTTACTAAAAATATTAAAGTAAGAAATAAATATATAAAAGGTTGGTGTGGAATAGATTTACCAAGACCAGTATTTTACAGGTTGGGACAGCCAGTTTTTAATAATATTTAAAAAGTTATTAATTTACCATAATTTTCAAAACTATGATTAAACTTAGTGTTTAATTAGTAAAATATGTATTTAATTAATAAAAACTTAAACTGGAGAATTGAATTTTTGTTAACCTTAGATAGTGAATTTAAATTAGATGAATTACATATTGGAATAACGCGAATAACAAAACCCCACAAGGCTGGCTAACACCCTGGCTTTAATTCTTAGCCTTAATTTACTAAAATGTTTAGATGACTACCTATTATCAGTTTGTAGTAACTATTAAAGATATAACATTTAAGTTTTTTTTTACTTTAACAAAAATTTAACAAAAACTTTTAAATTTGTTAACAAGGTTTCAATACCTTAAAATAGTGAAAGAAGTGCTATATAACTTACTTGTTATTTTCATAAAAAAATGATTTAGTTAAACAAAGAAAAGTATTTTTTATATATTTTTAAAAAAAATAAAATAAAATTTTTTACTAATAATACTTTTTTTTATAGTTAATATAATTTCTATTAATAAAATAAAAAATGGCTTTAATTTCAATTTTTGAATCACAGCACAGCTCAGCACAGTAAAGCGCAAATAAATTGTATGCGTTTTTTTCAAAATAACTTTTTTTATCTAAAGAAAACATGTGGTATGACTTGCCCATTTAATAACTAACTGTAATAATGTTTGTTTATTTACATAAAAATGAGCAATAAATGAATGTTACTACAAATATATGTTATATTATTTTTTAAAGCTTTTAACCTAAAACCTTCTGTAAAAATACTGGATAAAAAATTTCTTACCTCCAATATAATGTAAAAGTACTGGGTAAGGACTTCGATGATCACTTACCAGCACATAACAATGCTTCTGAAAAGCTTGGGTTTTACCATGTGGAAGTTTGCCAATAAAATACTGCTTTTTTACAAGAGGATTTTTGCGAGGAATTTCTTTGGGACCAGAATTTAGCCATCTGTATTGATCACACTTGTAATTTTCTAAATACAAAAGTTAGACAGCTTTTACAATAATAATAAAAACAATTTCCATAGTAAAGGCTTTAAACGTACTGTTTGTGGTAAAAAAATGTCTCTTAACAACTCTTTTTTTTTTTTTTTAAATGACAAAATTAAGCTCATTATGTAAAAACTAGGGATGCATCGACCATTTAGACGATGCATCGGTTATAGTAACCATCAACTAGCTAATTGTTTTGAAATTTTATGTTTCTATATTGCATTCAAAAATATAATTATTCCACAAAAGAAAATGCATGCATAAACCTAAGTTATTATATAAATACAGGCCTTGGCAAGAAGCGAGAGCTTTAGCTCTCAACCACACTCCCCTAAAATGATTTACAGAAGCAATTTAAAGCTTTTGCAAAAGTGTAATTTTTTCTCTCAAAAGTATAATTATCATTGTAAGTAAAATAAAAAATGAAAAGTAATTTTTATGAACAAAAAAAAACAAAACAAATTAATTGCATAATAAAACTGCAGTGCTTTTTAAAAGGTACAGTTGTTGCACAAAAAAAAAAAAAAAAAAATTTAAATCGCTGATATAAATGAAAATGTTTTTGACTTTTGCTTTGGACTATTTGATCAATATAAAATCAATAAACTCTAAATTACATCGATAAAATATAAAACTAGTTAACTGATAAAAAATAAAATTTTTACACTCTAAACTATTGCGTAAAATTTTTTATTTTATGTATAAATTATATATTTTACATATTAATTACTTTAATATATTATTTTATTGTAAAAATTTTTATTGTTGTAGTAATTCTTTAAATGCTTGCTTTCTATAACAATAAGAATGTTGCTAATAAATATATACTTTTTCCTTTTTTCTCAATATATTTACTTCCAACAAGGCTGCAAGCAACCACTATTAGAGTTAGAAGTTACTGGAAGAGAAAAAAAATATATAAAAAAAACTTTTCAAAAACAACATTTTAAAAATGGACTAAAAAGTAAAAAATAAACTATTTCATGGGATCCAAAGACTTTGTGTATGTACACAACCGGAAATATCCATTAAAGTCAATGACTGAAAATGTTGGGCAACTAAGTAACTTGTTCCTATTGGCGCCCAACATTTTTAGTCATTGACTTTAATAGATATTTCAGGTTGTGTACGTACAAAAAGTCCTTGGGTCCTATGAAATAGTTTATTTTTTACTTTTTAGTCCATTTTTAAAATATTGTTTTTAAAAAGTTTTTTTTATACATTTTTTATTATTTACTTTTTAGTCTGCTAAGAAAATTTATTTACGCAAAAATTATACATTTAAAGACAATGTTTATCTAAAGAGTTGTTTCTTGGCGCATTAAATGACGCTTGTTATGTATATATTCTTGTAACCTTGCAAACATATGCGTGTAACAAGTATAAAAACAAAGTTTGTATTTAATAAGCAATTTTTTTAAAGAATAAACAGATAGCTCATGCAAAAACAAAAAGCTCTTGTAAGAAGCTCTTTAGAAAAACAGCTTGCATGGCTCGCAATATTCACTTTACGAGAGCTTTTCTCTCCCCTTGCGCTCATTTCCTCCCATCCACTAAACCTTTAAAGATTTTAAACTGTTTTTTATCAGGAGCTTCCTGCATTTAGTGTCTTTTTATTATTTAGGAAAGCAATTATAATTTTTTTTTTATTATTTAGGAAAACAATTAAAAATTAAAAATCTTATGGATTGAAACTATACAAGAAGTTAAGTTTAAAATCAAGATATGTACATGTAATATAAAATGTAAAATAAAAACTTTCTGCCAGATGTTCCTTTCTTGATATTTTTATTTTGCAAAATTTACAAATTGTTTTAAAGGTTTATTTTCATCTAAATCAAAAGTCTGTTAGAATTTTAGTTACTTTGCTCATTATTGATTACTATATTATAAAATTTCTAACTATATTTCTAAAATATAGTTAAAATATTTGGTTTTAGAAATAAAATTAAATAAAAATAAATCAGCAATAAGTAAAGCAACTAAGCATTAGGAAAATAAGCAAGCATTAAAATTGCCTGTTAACATTATATTTGAAAAAAAATCATAACTTACCTAAAAGTAAAAAAGAAAAGAGTAAAATTCGAACTTAGGGGCAATGGCGATGCATTGGTATTGGCCTGTACCAATTGGTAATAGCATCGGCCAAAAGTAGGCATTGGTACACTCTAGTTAAAACCATTTCAAACAATTAAAAACTAAACTAAAATAATTTTATTGTTTTTTAAAAAACTCAAAAATGCAACTTAATAGACTGTAATGTTTTTTATTTTTTAATAAAAATAAAAACATTCTGAATTTTTTATTTTTATTTTTTTACTGTTTACATACAAATAGCCAAACTGACAAATAGGTACAGGCAAGGAGTGTTGCTGCATTGACTGTCAAATAGGTAGAACATTGCTAGAACATGCTAAATTGACATTATAGAACATGCTACATTGACTGACAAATAAGTAGAACATAAACTCTGTGTGGTTATGGCAATTTCTAAATTATTTGAATTCTTTATTGTACAACCAGCATGATTTTGTTAGCGTATTATGTGCAAACCAATTACTTTAAATTAGCTTTAGGTTTTTATGTTTAAAAAACTTTTATCTTTTTTATATTATTTTCCAAATTTTTTTACTAGCCCTAATAGTAAACCTAATGAAGACCACTTTTGAGTCTCAAGTTAAAATTTTTTAAAAGCATGCCTTGACAAACAAGCCTGCTGCGCAGAAAATTAAGTTGAGCGCAGTATTACCAGGTGGGTATTGAACTCAGAACTTCTAGCTTATAAGACGAGTGCTCTACCACTACACCACTAGCATATTATCTTACCACTACCCTATTAGTGTTTGAAACTAATTTGGAAATAAACTATTGCTTAAATTAGGCTTTTACAGGCTTAGTCGGGAAGCGGGTGTGATCACACACTATTCCTGACCATGCAAATTTTTAGTTGCGACAACTTGGACACAGCTTTTTAGAACATTTAAATTTATGTATGTCCGACACAATTTGACATGCTAAAACTTCGTAAAATTTCATAAATAATCTTTAATATTAACAAAGCGCTTATAAATTAAGCGATGATTTACTTTTATTGATCATTTATAAAAAGAAAAGTTTTTATTTTATCTTTTAAATTATACTAAGTTAGTTTTATTAAAAGATATAATAAATAATTATACAAATGATAATATAGATTAATTTTTTATTCTTTATATGTAAGTCTTTTAAAAATGTTTGTACGATCAATTTTAAAAAAAATAAGACTTTCAACAACACTTGCTTTTTGAATAAAATTTAAAAATTAGTGATCATCAAATTTAATGAAATTAATAATCAAATATTAATAAACATATAAACATACAGGATAAATAAATAAACATACAGGATAACAAAGTGAATTATACATACACAGGCTTGGTCGAGAAGCGGGTGCGATCGCATTTGATAACTGATCACGGAAATAATATTTAGTTGCAAAAAACCAGCCAGATTTTTTAGTCGTTTTGAGAACATTTAAGTTTATTTATGTTTCCTTGTTTGTCCGCAAAAAAAATAAGTTTATTTTATTGTTAACTTTAAAATCTTTTATTTTACGGACTTACATGGAAACATACATAAACTTGAATGTTCTCAAACATCTTACTGCGGAAAAATAAAAAAAGAATATTCGCGAACACAAAAAACCCGCCAAATCTACGAACAACTAATTCTATTGGTTCAAAAAATACTAACAGAAATTTCTAGAGTATTTTAAAAAAATACTAACCGAATGTCCTGAGTATTCTGTTGAAATATTTTTAAAAATTGTATTTTTTAAATTTTGTTGCGTTGTTGTTGAGATTTCTAGCATAAATTATTTTAAGAATATCCTATCAAACGAACTACTATTTTAATTCTTGGAGCCACATCTACAAAGCTATTAATGTTTTAAACTAACATTATTTGGTTACAATAATAAATGTTTTAAATTTATATTTTTTAACTTGTCAACGTTTTGTAAATATATTAAAGATTTTATAAGTATATTCTTATTTTTTATATATAAGGGATGTATTTTTCATGTATGTGTAATGTATTTTTATGTATGTAATGTATTTTTATTTATGTTGTTTTATGTATGTGTATTTAATTCAAATGTAAACGAAAATATTTTCAATAATAACTGCGTTTTTAATGAAATTATTAATAATCGTCAAAATTAATACAGAAAATTTTTACCACTAATCCATTTTTCTCAGTGTACCCGATACCTGATACTTTCTCCCAAAAAAGAAAAGTTTTTAAGTTCTTAGAAATTGGTTTACTAACTTCAATTATTTTTGCTTCAGCCATTCTTACAAACTCGTTATACTTAAAGTTACTTTTTCTGTTTTAAATACTAATTAAAACTATAAAGCCCATTTACTAAACATCACCAGCGGTATTTGAAGCAGTTCCGCTTCCTCCTCACAAATTAATTAAACGTTTTTTGTTAATTTTTATCTAGCTAATTGAATTTCTACAGTAACTCAATGATATAATTATTTCATTTGTTTATCTTACTAAGAAGAATTTTTTAAACTACGCAAAGCATGAAACAGTTATTGAAAAAACGTTTTTATTTATAAATAAATCATCTGGTTGAATCTTGTTGGACTTTTCAGGGCCGGGTGATGCATTATTTTAGCAGCCATTTTATGTGCCACAGCTTAAAAATGACTAAAAAAAATACCGATCGGTCCTCCTGACTACTCCCCCTAACACTGTGAGTCCCAGGGCTATGGCCCTACTACCCCCACCTCACCTCCTCAATCCAGCACTGGAAATAAGACATAAGTATATAAATAAAAATTATATATACTCTTTGATAAATCAAAGAACATTTGTTTCTTTATAGTTGTTACTTAAGATAAAAATGTCGCTTAATTTTATAAAAAAAGTTATAAAAGAGCGACGTTTCAAAAATAATTGCTTTAATAAATTTATTTTGCTTAAAGTTTTT